ATGAACTTCATCTCCAGGCCTTTGCCTACACTCTTTCCTCTTTCTGAAATGTCTTTCCCTCTCTGCTGTCTGGAAAACTCCTACTCTCCCTTCAAGGCCCAACTCACAGGTCACCTTCCTGCCCTCTCTAAGCGAAGGTCATCCTCTACTTCCTTGCACTCTCCTCCCCATATTGCATATTCATTCATTCATTCATGTATGTACATATGTATGTATGTATGTATGTATGTAGCTGAGCCATCCTGCCACCTGTTGGCAGCTCAGCAGCAGCTCAGCTCGGGCCGGGCATCGAACCACTGTTGCTCAGAGCTCGCACTCTTGAGCGAGCGAGCAAGCTCTTAACCAACTGAGCCACTCAGCCAGCCCACATATTGCATTTTTCCAGCTGGAATACAGATGGATATTTGCTTGTCCATCTCTGCTGCTGGATGGTGAGGGAAAGCATCTCGAGTCACCTTTCTATTCCAAACACTTGAGGCCTTGCCTGACACCTAAAAAACACTTAATAAATGCATGTTTAATGGAGATCCAACCTTCAGGTCAAATTTAACATGCAAAGTAAAAGGCAGATTTTATGTATGTTAGACTTATTTCTGCACCTCAAGTCTGAGCCAGTGACTGCCATTTTTTTCATTCCTCCAAGGAGCAAACTTCATTCACACCAAGCACTTATTAAGTGCCACACCCTGTGCTAACTGCTCTCCACACAGTTATCTCATTTAATCCCCCAACATTCCTATAAAGCAGTTCCTATTACTAGCATTAGCCTCATTTACAGAAGAGGAAATTGAGGCTTAGAGAAGTTTACTCAGCCCAAATTTCCCAGCTCATCAGTGATGGAACCAGAACCCAAGGAAAAGAATCCCAGGACCTCAGAGCTAGAAGGAACCCCCAAATTATCTGCCTCACTAAACCTTCTTGAAGTAGAGGCTTATGGCTTACTGCCTGACACAAAGCAAACCCTCCAAAATGGTGATTGATGGATGGAGTGCCCTAATTTCTGAGATTGTGACCTTTGGCTGGGAGTACAGCTGAGACTGTTCTTTCCTCCCCAACACCTCTCACAGGTGTGAATTGCTTGTGGCACCTGAATTATTCATGAACCACACCATGGAGAGTGTGCTTAAAAGGAGAACGATGGTTCTCATTATTTTTCAAGACAAAGTGCCTGATTACTGGTGAATCAGACAGTATCGGCTCATGGCCCAGGTTGATTCCCACCAAATAATATATCCGTGCCCACTTTTTGAACTTCAGCTTCCCCGTAATTTCCCAGGTTCCATTAGGATTTAAAATAGTGGTAACTAAGCAGAAAAGAGAACCACCATAAATACCTTTAGCCTATCTGCAAAGCAATTACCACTATCTAAAGCTGATACTCCCCTGCTGCTTCAAACCCATGTATTCTTCCTAAGGCTGAGTTAGGTTTTTCAATGAGGCTTCTTAAGCGACATTAAGACCTGAAAATTCAGATGCCACAGCATCTGTAACTTATGCCATCCGTGAATCATGTGAAACTACTCCCTTCTTTTTCCATTCTTCTTTCCCTAAGCCCCCTCTCCCCCGCGAGCTGATTTTCTAGTGGGAAGTTTTCTGACAGGGAAAACCATATGCTAATCATGCGCCAACATCACTGTATTTCAAATTCAATGTTAGTCAACCAAAATGAATTGAAAAGCAGCAGCAGTGGTTTGGGGGTACTAAAAATAAGCTCTAGCATTTGCTGAGTTCTCAGAATTAAAACCACAGGCGGTCAACTTGTTGCTGCTCTTAATAAGATATGACTGTTCTGTCCCATTGGCTGCTACTATATGAGAAACTCAAACTATAACTATATACACCTAACAACGCTGTGCTTTGGATTAGCGGGCCGTGATCAAGAAAAGAAGTTCCAGTTCCCTGGCACTAAACCTGCCAAAGAAAGATAACAGATGGCTTTCAAGTGATCACCTTTGCCACAACACAACCCCACCTCAGTCAAATTCACCTTGCATTTTTGAATGAATTAGTCACACATCACTGGATCTCGTAACTTCATGCCTGGCTTGCTGTCCAGTGCCTCCAAATAGGTGTTTCTTCCTTTGAGTTTAATTTTTGGGTCATAATAAAAACACACAATAGGAATACAATATTAATATGTTGGCCATTTCCATTAGGACCTCAAGACCTTCTTGAACCCCGAATACTGTACAGGACACGAAATGTCTTATCAGCTACCCTTCAGGGCTTTAAAGTTTAAAGTCATTAAAGTTTTCAGCGACCTGAGAGGTAGAAGAATTCTGCCTAATGCATCATTCTGATTAGATACCTGTCATACTCAGAAACCGGTTGGTCTGCTTTCTATTGATTCCTACCCCTTGTGGTTCATTAGCAATTTTTTTTTTCTCTTCAGTTAGACCCACTGAGCAACCGTAGAAAAAGCTGAAAGAAGTCTTCCCTTTGCCCAGCTGCGCTTGAAAAAAAAATATATGTATGCCTGGAAAGTAAAATTACAGAGCATATTCCAAGAGGCCACACAGGAAAATCAATTTCTTTCTCTCAATTTCTCTCTCTCAATTTCTCTCTCTCAATTTCTCTCTCTCAATTTCTCTCTCTCAATTTCTCTCTCTCAATTTCTCTCTCTCTCTCTCTCTCTCTCTCTCTCTCTCTCTCTCTCTCTCTCTCTCTNTCTCGCAAGTTGTAGGACTCATGAGGGCTTGCTACAAAGCCAACATTTGACAGAGAGAGAGAGAGAGAGAGAGAGAGAGAGAGAGAGAGAGAGAGAGAGAGAGAGAGAGAGAGAGAGGGAGAAATGAGGGCATTTCTTTCTTTCTGAAGAAAATCGGAGTTCAGAGAGTTATGGCAGACTTCAGAAATTCACTGACTATGCTTTCTTTGGCACACTGCATCTTTTGGCTTTGTTCCCTGATATTTTAGATTACAAAAATCTTTTCTGCCCCCAATGTTCTAAGAGAAATCTAGGATAAACTAAAGTGAAGAGAGTTCTAGGTCTGCTCGGGGCCAAAAGGTGCAGTGAGTTTGTTTGTCACGTCTTCTGGGGTGTGGCTTTATGCTTTCAAAACTTGCTTTCGCAAAGGTATCCGAAGGATTTATTCTCTGTTGTTTATTATTCATTTATGCATTCATTAATTCACTCAGTAATGTTTCCTGAGCACTGTATATCAGGAAGGATACTGGGCCCTGGGGAGAAAGATACAAGGAAACTATACCCTCGTCCTGGGCATCTTACAGTAGGGTTCCCTCCACCCTCCCCGGGACATTTCATTTCAGCTGGGACAAGGTACAGAAATGATCTCTCATTGGAAATTATAGGTTGGTATTATCCATGCTAGTATCAACTTTCTTTCAGATTTTTTGTTTTTAACAAAACCTTAAAAAAAAAATCAAGCCTCAAGGTCTATTTCCAGACAACTGGCATTTTCTCGTCCCCAGTTTTAGCTTGTCAGCTCAGGGAACCAAGCCGACGCTGTGAAGCTTCTGGGACTGCAGCCCCAGAAAAAGTCCTGAATCGATATTTTCATTTATTTGCCTGTGGCAGCTATAGGTTCAACAACAAAACATGAAAAAAACCTTTTCCATTTTTTAAAGGAGGGAGGGTAAATGAGCATCGGGGGGAAGCTAACAGACATAATACCTGGGCCAATCCTCTGATAAAAACCTATTTTACTGCCTTCTGCAAATATTCTAATTTGTTTGTAAAACAAGGCGTGAAGCAGTGATTTCAAAAAGGTTTAATGTGTGTCTATGGCGTCAGAAGTCATTCGTTTCTAGCTCATCATTGCTTAGCTGTGTGACCTTGAACAAGTCAGTTAATCTTAGTTTCCTGATCTTTAAAATGGGATTAATACATACTTCACAGAGTCCGTGAAGATCAAATGAAATAACAGATAGGATATGGTGTCTACTGCACAGAAGCCCAGTTAGTAGTTCTGGGTGTCTGTTCCTTAGAGCAAAACATAACGTGACCACTCCTACTTTTCCAGAGGAGTCTGGAAGGATAACGTGCTGATGCGAAAGGACTTTCCCCTCTACCTACTGCCCCTTGTTACAGCACCTGCATGAGCGCATATTAAGGCACAGGTGAGAGGCCTGCGTTTTGGAGATAAATCCAAGTTCACATTCTGATTCTGCTGCATATGATCTGGTGACCTCGGACAAGGAACTTCACTTTTATCACTCTCAATCTCCTTAAAGTAGAAATAATAACACCTCATTTTTATATAAAGAAAAACAGTATCAGTGTATTCAAGTACTATCTAACTCAAGCAGTTCCTGGGGAGAAAGTAGGTGTAGCTATGGGGAGGATGTTTCAAAATTTCCAGGGAATAGCGTGTGGAACATAAAAAGTCCACTCAAGTTCTCTCTGACACACACACACACACACACACAGAGGCAAATTGTCAGAAGCTGGGCTCAGACCTCCCGTTCCTAACTCGCTTCAATCAGGACCAGAAAGACACAATCCTTTCCTTACTTCTATCTCAAATCCATGCCCCAAGCATGTGTCTCCACGGAGCTAATTTCTGAAACAAACAAAGAAAATCAAGTCTGCGAGGAGCGAGGGGTTTGCTCCCCTCTGCCTTGATTTCCGGCATCCAGCTTAGTGGGCGCCGCGCTGCCAGCGGGTCGGGGCGCCCGGTGTCACCCTAACCTTCCCTGGCCCGCCAGCCCCGGCTCCAGCTGTGCCGGAAAGTGCGAGCCGCCCCGGCTCCTTTCGCTTCTTTGCTGCTGCTCCTCCAAGTCCCCAGAACACCCGCGTCCGCTCACACTCAGGGCGCCACCGCTCTCCCACCTCCCGTTCTGTCAGGCGTCAGGCGCAGGGGTGCGGTGGGCACCAAGGGTGCTGGCCAGCCGCACAAGTGTCACACCGGATGCCTGCCCTCACTCCCAGAGAGGGGGCAGAACGGCCACAGGTAGCCTCTATCCATCCCAGGGTGCGGGGCGAGGGCAGAGGGCGAGAGACCCAGCCCGGCAGCCGCGCCCGGCCCGCTGAAACTCACCCGAGGACACGGAGGAGCCGGACAGGCTGGAGTTGCTGGACGCTGCCATCTCCGCGCGCCCCGCGCGTCGCTGCTCGCTCAGCCCTGGTGCGGACGCAGCCGCCGCTGCCCTCGCCCGGCCGTCTGCAGCCTCCGCGGTCCCCAGCCCATGGCAAAGTCCTGGGTACGCGCAGAAAGCACCAGCCTCTGGACTCTGCCTGCACTTCCTGCTCCACCAGATGACGCGCTGCCGCCGCCGCTATTTATTTGTGGTTTCTGTCCCTCTCAGTGCCTTTGCACGCTTTTCTCCGGGTGTCGGGGGGGTAGGTGGGAGCAGAGGGAGGCCGAGGGGCGGCCAGAGCGGACCGATCGTGGCTCCAGCCGAGCCCCAGCTCCGGTTCGCCCTCCTCCGCGCACGGCTGTGACCTGGGCACTCGGGCGGCCCCGCTCCGCCCCGCCAGCTCCCCGCACTCTGGGCTCCCGCCTTCCCGGCGGCACTTCGAGCAGCCCGGGCAAAGGCGGCGGGAGACAGACAGACAGAGCGACCTCCCCCTTTTCCCTCCGCCCCAACTCCGCTCGCGCGCGCACACAAAGGAAGAAGAGGAGACGCGGGAGCTCGGGGGCTGGTTGACAGCTCCTGCGTCGGGGGCTGAAGGGGGAGGCTACGTGCTGAGGCGCAGGGGACACACTGGACCGAGGAGAGGGACCCGGAGGTGCCGGGGAGGCCGCAGGGGCGCGCGGGGCGAGCACGGCTGCCGTGGGCAGCGCAGCTCCACGGGCTTGAAGGCAACTGGGAGCGGGGGAAGCTGGTGGGGTTCAGGGCGCCCAGCCAGACGGAGGAGCAACGAGGCAGCCCGGGAGGGATCCGGAAGGCGAAGGCGGGGTCAGTAAGGACACGGTGTTAGGCAGAAGGGGTCTTGGGCTGCCCGAGAGGCTGTGGAGTGCTCCTTCCACTCCCCTCCAAATTGTCCTTTGTTGCTCTGGTGCTGATGGTCCCAGCCGGGCAAGAAGATGAGTTTCCTAGAACACCCTCAAAACACCCAGCAAGCCAATCCAGCTGCACTGAAGCACCCCAGCCACGGACAGTGCCCAACAGGGCCACCGGGCTTTTGAGGGTGGCCGTCAAAGAAAGAGAGACATTTGAGATATGTCATCTGGCCCACACAAAGCCGGCTGTCAAAGAGAAAGAGGTTCTCCAACTGCACCTTGCAAAAAGGATCCTCACAAAAGACCTGAGACTGGCAGCATGTCCGACTTACCCTTTCAGGATAAGGAACTGCTAAGTAAGGTGTGTAAGAGAAAGAGATTGGAGCACAAGGTGCGTCTCTTCCCCCTGTATTTAAACCTAAATTAATTTCACTGCAAGGGAATATCATGCAGATTATTTTAAAAGTCTATTTCACGCTCCCAGCAGGGTAATCGGTTCTTTGAGTCCCGAAGCAACAGAAAACTGTGAAATCTGAACAGAAATTGTTAGATCAAAGGAAAAAGCAAACATTAAAGGAATGAAAGTGCTCTCATTATGTAGCAAAGTGGAAAGTGTTCACACTGGGGAAGTTCAAATTTTAAAAATACGGTTGAAAGGACAGAATCAGTTTAAAAATTATCAGGAGTGACACAGGCACAGCAGCCAGTCCTAGGGGGTCCACATCAACCAAGCACCTAACATACAGTGAATAATAAATGCTGAATAATCACAATATGCACCCACGTCACACTTTGTAGTTGATTTAAACTATTTTTTAAAAATTCCCTCCAGGATGCCATCCCTGTATGTCTTCTCAAAAAGGCTCTTTTTTTTTTTTTAAATGCAGCTTGGTGACTAGTTGTGGGCTCACGAGCACTCTCCAGTCCCACTGGACTGAATCTTCCTGACCTTCCTCTAATGGAACTTGAAACATTCCCACCTGGTATAAAAAGGCCCAAGCACCCTTACCCACCCAGCAATTTTCTTCTTTTGGTGCAACACAGCCTTGATGCAGGGTAATCTGGAGCCCTTCAGGGGCATGTGGTTCGTCACAACCTTGACCTCTGCATCAGAATGGAATCCCCTATTTTCCAAGAGTTCTGATCCAAGGCAACACCTACCTGTTTGACAAGTAATCTATGTACCCCTCCAGGTCTTTAGATGGGCAACCATCTGACTTGGCTATGTCACTAGCTGTCATCATCTGGGCTTTGAAGAAGACAACATCTGGGTTCAAACTCTGCCACTTATTATCCATGTGACCTTGAACAAATTACTTACACACACTGACCCTTAGATTCTCCACCTGCAACCAAAGTCCTGCTAACGCAGGGTGTTGTGAAGATTAAATGAGATGATATGTGTAAAGCCACAGCGTGCCTGACATAAAGTTCAGACTCTCTAAGGGACTGCAAATTGTTCACTTACGAGATTGAAGCTACAATGTGAACACCTTTTGATTTCTCCACTGCATCTGGAGGTACCTAATCAGCAGTGACTTGTTCCACAAGCGGAATGTCTAATTTTTGGCCCAAGGTTAATAACACCTTTCTTGCCCCAAGCTAAGCAACGGGTTTCATTCCACATCTCAGAAGCCTCACAAAGAGATCTCAAAGTCTCCTTCTGCCGTTTGCATGATAATATTTACCTTCTTAGACCATTACGGTCCTTAGAGAAACTACGGCCCTGTGAAGTAGATTATTTTCATCATCCCAAATTGACAGTTGAAGGGACTGAGGGTTACTTGCAGTGCTGGCACCACCCCAAGGCACCCTGTGCTGTATGGAAGTAGAGTAAGAGGGAGCCTAGCTGTTTCCCACCAGGTCCAAAGGCCAGAAAACAGATACGAGAACAAACATACTTGCTGAATAGAAATGGGACGAGCGGGGAGGCTAAGCTTGTCGGTAGGTGGTGGCCGGGAACGCTGAAGTCCATTATTTTGAAGAACACATGAAAAGCTCCAGGTTCAGAACTAAACCCTGAAGCCGATCAGTAATTTGGATTGTGAAAGCCATAACCAATGGAGAAGACACAGCAGGGACGGCTGTTTCCTATCATTTTTCTTAGATCCAGAGGCCTAACTTGCCTGCTGTTCCTTGCAAACGTTTACAATCTGAAAATGAGCAGGAGGTGCTGAAAGAAGATGCTAATCCCCTCCTCAGGAGGCTCGGGAATCTGCTTGTGGGCTTCCAAAGCGTTTCCCCAAATGAAACAATAAGAAAATTAGTTCATGTATTTTATTCATTCGTGCATGGCATTGATTCTGGGCAATGCCTATTTACCAGTAGAAAAGGGAATATGGGGGCTACCAAGATCTTAGGTCTGTTTGAAAAGAAGGATTTTTTTTTTGACATTTGTGCCTTCTTCCTTCAAATATTAAAAGACTTGTGGGACAAAAGAAGTTGTGTTGATAATTTGGCCTACTTAAGATTAAAAATTGCCGTTTTCTTTAGCTTTCATGCTAATTGAGCATTTAAAGCCTTCTCAACTTCCCTTTCCAAACCTATTTCCCATTCTCCCCTTCACAAATGCAACCCCTTCTCACTGTGCCCATACCACCTGCGGCTGGCAGCATCAGCCTATTCCCATGTCCTCTCTGCTGGGCACCCTCTATATTGTGAAGGGTCAAGTGGAATGCACCTTCCTGGAGAGTTTTCCCTGATGGCCAAGCCAAAGCCAGGTCTCCCACTCATTTCTTCTAGTCCTTTCTCTGTACCTCCCAACTGGCAGGTGCTCTATCTTGTTTTAACGGTGACTTCGGAGCATATTTTGTCTCCCTACTCCATTAAAACCTTCCAGGGAACAGGGCCCTTGTCTGTCAAGCCTCTGAATTCCCTACCACGGTTTGCACACCATAGGTGCTCGGTAGATGTTTGTTGAATAACCAAGTAAACCAAGGAACACATGACTCCATCAATGGTCCTTAAGGACACCCACAACATGTCACACCAGTAGCTGTGGCCACTAAGCAACAAGAGGATGAGTAATACACCTAGAGCACAAAAGGAAGTTGATGTCTGTGTCAATGACACTCCTGCTATGAACAAGAAACACTGAAATGGTGAAAACATAAGAATAACATTTTGATGGAGTAAACGTTTGCAATCCCCACCCCGCCATCACCAGCTATTACAACTCATGTAATTTATTGTTTATAGAGTAGCTCTTATGTTACTGTAATTTGTTTATTTTTGCTTTACTGTTCCTTTGAAGTTTAAAAGCAGACATGAAAACACCACAGGGTGAATGTGGCTGCTGTGGTTGACACTGGACTCCCACGTTTCGGGCACCCTGGGGTGTTGGTGAAGGTCATTCCTGTTCTCTGTGCTAAACACAGAATGAAACATTCCTTACTTTCAAGATTAATCCAGTGGCCTGCATTCACGGGAGACTAGTGGGGGTGTCTGTCAACTAGCTTTAAATATTTTATGGCAAATACTCTGTGCTGAAAATTGGTCTTTTGTCATCAGTTTCTCAACATCGATATACTCTTTGTTGTAGCAAGAAATAGCCCCCTTTGTAGTTTAAGCCCTATTTCTAAATACAAATCTCCCTAGTCCTATTAAAGAGAAAAGGTTGGCTCCTGGGTTAATGTCAGGGGTAACTAGAGGCGGAAGCTGACACACTCCATTTCTCTAGCAGAGGTACCCAGGGTGAGGTGCCCCAGCAGGCAGCGCAGACGCTGCATGGAGCAGGCCTGCCTCTGAACAAAAGCAGTCCACACCTGGGGTGCAGACAAAGGGAGGCCGCCTCAGCTACCCAATTCCCAGTTCACATTGCCTGCTGCTGGGGACCCCTAGTGGCGACATATGCAGCAAGCACAGGTGTTCCCTGGATCTCTTCACTGAAGCAGGAGGGGCCGGGGTATCGCCCTGAGTTTTCTATTTGGCTACTTAACATGCGAGGGTCAGATACCGACATGTGCATACTTATGCCACGCTGTCAGCTCTTTGATGAGAGGGTGTGAGAGAGAGAGAGAGAGAGGGTGTGAGAGAGAGAGAGAGAGAGAGAGAGAGAGAGAGAGAGAGAGAGA